ATGAACGTGTTAAGTTGAAGCTGCAGAGAAAGAAGTTGTGGAAGTATTGCGAGAAGGACGTAAAGGAACCAGAGGAGAGTAAGGAGGCGGAACATGATACGTGGGTGAGCGAAACTTCTCGAGCGAAGGAGATAATTTACGACGCCATGACGAACAATATGATGAAGACCGTTAAGTATGAGCATACCCCGTTCCGTGTGATGGAAAGATTGAAGAAGAGATTCATGGGGAAGACTTACCTGAAGTATGCTGAGGAAAGAGCTAAGTTGAGTCGACTCCGTTTGAACCCGAATGGAAATTTACCTGATCATTTGAGTGAAATGCGGCGGCTTATGGAGACAATTGCTGAAGTTGGAAAGCCCTTGGATGAGTATGAACGACCAGCTTTGCTTATCGGTTCCCTACCGCGTGACTACGATAATGTTGTGCAAACGTTTCTTGCTAGTCATAAGCCAGACAAAGATGATGATCCACCAAACTACGAGCAGCTTGAACTTGCGTTGGAGATGGCTTATGATCACCGCCAGAGTAGAAAAACCGAAAGTAGAAGAGGAGATGATGAAGAAAAAGCGTTTTATGCTGGTGGTCGTGGTCGGGGACGTGGAGCAGGACGAGGTCGTGGACGAGGTCAAGGTCGTGGACGAGGTTTTGGCCGTGGTTTTGGTCGTGGTTTTGGACGAGGTCGAGGTGGTTACAATCAAGCAGGTGGTCGTGGAAGCAGCCAAGAGGGGCAGGCTCGGACTTGTTATCACTGTCACGAAACTACGCACCAAGTACGTGACTGTCCGTATCTTGGCAAGCGTCCACACGAAGATGAAAAGGAAAAGGAAGGCGCACACAAGAAAAGCAAGACGAGTAGTGGAGGAAAGGAGACAGTTAAGCACGTTTACAATGAAAGTGATGAGGAGGCGTATGTCATTCTTCAGGCGTTAAAGATGAACAAAGGGGCAGCAAAAGTGGCTCACGATCGATGGTACATTGACTCTGGAGCAACTAGTCATTTTTCAAATCAAATGACCGATTTTGTGGAGTTTACCCCATTCAGTGCTCGTGTGAGAGTTGCAGGGAAACACTATTTGAATGTTGAAGGAATTGGAACCATTAAAAAGGAGTTGCAAACATCTCAAGGTCGCTGTGCAGTGACATTATGCGGTGTTCGGTATGTTCCTGAGTTACAATGCAACCTTTATTCGGTGAATCGACAGTTGAGAGGTGATGTGAATATTCGTGAGCGTATTAAAGTCCATTTTGATCGACAAGATGTTGCAGAAGTGATTCTTCGTGATGGTACGACTACAGCAGAGCTAGATGAAACGAACTTGTGTCGCCTAAAACTGGAGTCACCACAACATGTAGCAATGACCACTACTACCTCAGGTGCCATTCACGAACATAAGTTGGAGCTGTGGCATGCTAGACTAGGACATCCAGGAAAGACTGTTCTCAATTCACTGTTCAGTCACGATCAGTGGCCCCTGTCGAATTTGAAACTGCGCGTTCCAGAGACGTTTAACTGTCAGACATGTGTAAAAGGTAAACTGGCCAGACACCATTTTCCACGCCTAAATTTGCAGTCACGCGAATGGCTGGTTGGTGAAATGGCCCATGTAGATATCTGGGGGCCATATTCAGTGGAAACTTACGGTGGAAAACGATACTTTGCTGTTTTTGTGGATGATGCAAGTCGCTTTGTGACTTTGTATCTACTTACGCAACGCTCCGACATATATGAGAAGTTTGAGCTGTACTACGAAATGGTGAAAACCCAGCATCACGTCAGAATGAAGGGATTGAGAACAGATAATGCGAAGGAGTTTGAGTGCTTAAAGCGACGATGTGAGGCAAAATATGGAATGGAGTGCACAACTACCATTAAACACACTCCACACTCCTGAGCAAAACGGCGTTGCAGAAAAGATGAATCGCACGCTTACAGAGAAAATGAGGTATATTCTTGTTCACTTTAAGTTGCCACAAGCTCTATGGGGTGAAGCAGCGATAACTGCAGCGTATTATGTGAATATCATGCCAAGCACTGTTCGTGGGATGGAAGTTCCATATGCAGTATGGCATCGTCGAGCTCCTGAGTATTCTCGTTTGCGAACGTTTGGATGTGCAGTTCTGGCGTATGTGGATAAAGTGGAAATACGTAAATTGGACGAAAAAGCTCGAGAGGCCGTATTTGTTGGATATTCCCGTGAGAAGAAGGGATATCGATTGTTGGATAGCAGTACCAACAAACCTTTCTACAGCCACACTGTTGTCTTTTATGAAGATAAACCTGGTCGGCTTCTTAGCAATGCATCGAAGCAGAGTGCATCTGATCAGCGTGTAGTGTCAACTAACGAGTTTTTTGGTATCGATAGCAATGTCGAGCCCATGCTCGAAGATATGCACGAAGCTGAAAGTGATAGTAGTGACGATGACGAAGGTGATCGTCGGTCAGGTGGGGCCGATGACACCGTAAGTAATGACCGGCCAGGTGGGGCAGATACAGAGTGTGATGCCCGGTCAGGTGGGGCCAAAAATGGTCACGCTGACAAACACGAATGTGCAAG